AACCCTAAACCCTAAACCCTAAACCCTTTTTTTTTTTTTTTTTTTTTTAAAGAAACCAAGAATTTTTATTCCATAAACCAAAATTTACAATCAAAGAAAAAGCAGACATGCCTGCCTTTACAATTTTATTACCAAAATACCAAGAAAATCAAGAAAATACAATTTTCTTTCTAAAGTATTTATGCCTATTTTTATCAAACAGCAACAATCTCCTGGCTGGAAGAGGAATGTCCGAAGCCGCAGAAAATTCCATAGAACATCCACATTGTACAGCCCAATTTGCAAAAAAATCAGCTGCTGAATTTCCTTCTCTGTACACATGTGTCAACTGAAAATTTAATCTCCCCAAAATCTCCTTAATCTGCCTCATCAACTCCCAGTATTTCCAAGCACGTAAATGCCCTTTCATTACCATATTAACCATAATTTCAGAATCCGCCTCCACTTGTATTCGGTACCCCAACAACTCATATTTTTCAACAAGACATAAACCATCTTTTAAGGCCCTTAATTCTGCTTCCATGTTAGAACAGTTTCCATAATGAAAAGATCCTGCAATCACCAAGTCACCCCATTGATTTCGAATCACTGCACCCCCACCAGCACATCCCGGATTCCCTTTCGAAGCTCCATCCACGTTTAATTTCAAACATCCCTCCATTGGGCAAGACCAATTAACCCATATTGCTTTTATTTCAATTTTTCCACATCTAGTAACTCCCAATTCCTGCAACATTTTCTTTCCATTCATACTGTCAGGAATTTTTGGCCGAATTCCAAAGCTTGTAGCTTAACAATGTTACAAGTATTCTTGAAAATAGAAAAGGCAGACAAACATCCTTCTCCATAAACTCTTCTACATCTCTCTCTCCATAATAACCAAAACACAACCAAAGCCACACTCCTAACTAGAATATGACTAAGAGACTGTTTTTTGAAAATTCTTACTAGTCTCATTAATCTTCCCATAGGACCTTCATTCTCAATCAAATTAAATCCAAAAAAACCAGCCAAATATTGCCATACCTGTGCAGCAAATTCACATCGAATAAAATATGAGCTCCACTTTCCATTGCTTTATAACATAGCGAACACCTGCTGGCTAACTTCACCCCCAATTTCTGAAACCTCACATCCAACGCCACTGCATTTCTTTTAATTTTCCAGCAAAACAACTTAGCACTAGGCGGAGCAGCCTGTGCCCATATCGCCTTGACCACCACTTCTTCATTACCAGCCTGTCTTGCCAAATGCCAAGCTGATTTCACCGAAAACTGCCCAGAATCACTCAATTCCCATACCAGAAAATCAGTACTATCAGATAGAGTAATTCTCGAATTCATAATCTCTTCTTTCATTCCATCATCTACTAAACCACCCAACATCTGCCACTGCCAAGCATTTTCTTTATAAACTTCTGCAATTCTTGGAAAATCTTGAGGCATTACCCCAAGTCTGCTCAACAACGGTCCAGATTTAAGCCACTTAGAACACCAGAAATCCACTAACTCACCATTCCCAACAATAAATCGAGAGTGAGATACCACAATTGAAAACCAAGGTTGCAGCATACGAAAAACCTTAGCTTTCCTTTGTCCCGAAATCCTCAATACATGCTGATCTTTCAAAAATCTTGCAGAGAAAACCTTCGCCCAAAGAGACTTCCCCTGCAATATATTCCAGACCTGCTTCATACGAAAAGCAGCTTGAATATCTTCAAATTTTCTAATCCCCAAACCCCCTTCCTGCTTTGGCCGTGTTATATCATCCCAAGAAATCAAATGTCTCTTTTTAACTCCCTCTTTACCAGACCAAACAAAAGAAGCCATCAAAGAATTTATTCTATTCAAAATACCTTTGGGCAGATTCAAACAAGACATTAGATGCACTGGTACCGCATTTAAAACATTCTGCACCAAAACAACTCTTCCCATATTAGACAGCAATTTAGCATACCATCCTTCCAACTTAGCTTTAAATTTCAGAACTAAATCTTCAAAATCTCTAATTCTGCTCCTCCCCTTAATCATGGGACAACCCAAATACGTGAAAGGACATTCTTTTATAGGAATCTGAGCAACTCGAGATAAAATCATTTTCCTTCCCTGTGAAATCTTTGCCGAACAGAAAATTGAACTTTTCGGCCTGCTAATCCTCTGTCCCGAACTTGCTTCATACTTACTTAAAAAGGAAAACAATACCTCCAGCGAGATTTTATTTCCTTTCAAGAAAAGCAAAGTATCGTCAGCAAACAGCAAATGAGACACCATTATAGCCCCTCTCCCAGTATGAAAAGGCTTAATCTTCCTCTCAGCAAACAACTTCAACAGCCCCCTACTCAAAACTTCTTCTGCTAAAATAAAAAGCAACGGGGATATTGGATCCCCTTGCCTCAACCCCCTTGATGTAGGAAAAAAACCTTTCCTCTGACCATTTAAGCATACTGAAATGAATTGATTATTCAAGCAATTTCCAATAATGGACACAAAAAGATCAGAAAAACCAAAACATCTCAAAGTCTTCTTCAGAAAATCCCATTCAATACGATCGTACGCCTTCATCATATCAAGCTTAACTATTATATTCCCTGCCTCCACTTTTCTATCCAGTTCAGAAACCATATACTGAGCTAGTGAAATACATTCCCCTATACTGCGCCCTTTCACAAAACCATGCTGAGCATCCGAAATCAAAGAAGGCAAGAAAACAGCTAACCTATTAGCAAGCAACTTTGTAAAAATTTTATACAAAAAGTTGCATAAACTAATAGGTCTAAACTCTGCAAAACTTGTTGGATTTAATTTCTTTGGAATCAATGCCAACAAAGTAGCATTCACCGACCTTGGCACTACTCCACCTTCTAGAAAAAAATTTGTAGCTTTTAACAAATCTTCCTTAATCACATCCCAAGCCACTTGATAAAACTTCCCAGAAAACCCATCAGCACCTGGTGCACTTTCCACTGCCATTGAGAACACCACATTCTTCAGTTCTGCCATGGAAGCCAGACAAGTCAGCGATTCATTATTTGATTCACTCACAAGAAACGGAATTTCCTCAAACAATACTTCATCCAAAACATGATCCTCAGATTTATATAAGGATGCAAAAAAATCCACTGCTTGATCAGCAATCTCATCTTCAGAACAAGCCCAGCTCCCATTCTCACATTTAATTCTTTTTATACTATTTCTGACTGCCTTCCCTTTAGCTATAGCATGATAAAATTTTGTATTCCTTTCTCCTTCTAAAGCCCACTTTACATTTGCTTTTTGTTTCCAAAACATTTCTTCCAACCGCAAGGTATCATCCAAACTCTTTCTTGCTTTCTCCAATTTCAAAAGACTGCTCTCTGAAAAATCAGCCTCCAGTGTTCTTTCAGCATTACACACTTCCATCTCCTGTAACTTGATTTTTTCAAATATATTCCCAAAAACTTCTTTATTCCATCCTCTCAGTCGAACTTTAAGAAATTTTAACTTTAAGAAAAAATCCTCAATAGGATTACTAGAAAAACAACCACACCACACATCCACAACCAGTGGCAAAAAAGAAGCCTCCTCAGTCCACATATCCAAAAATTTAAAATAAGAAATTCGATGTTGCCCAGTTTTTTCCGTTACCTTCACCACCAGAGGACAATGATCTGAGCTTCCTCTCGCTAAATGTACCACCTGAGAATTATCAAACTTAGCATTCCAAATAGGATTTATAAAAACCCTATCCAAACGCTGCCACATTCTTGTTCCCCCCTGATGATTATTACACCAAGTATAGCTACTCCCCTCAAAACCACAATCCACCAGCCCAGCCGAATGTATACAATTACCAAAATCCTCCATCGCAACAACAGAGGGGTAAGCACCCCCCAATCTCTCCCCTGAACACAACACCGTATTGAAATCTCCCATTAGTAACCAAGGCAAGAAAAAGAGGAAGAAATTACTTGTATATGTTGCCATAAAGGCCTTCGTAACAAGTAATCACAACACGCATACACAACTGTCACAAGAATTGGATCAGAATCCAAGCAACAAACAGATACAGTAATAGCCTGCTCATGTTCCAAAATCACCTTCACATCTACTCCCTCCTTCCAAAACAACCATATATTCTTCTCCGCTTGAGTATTTGCCACAAAAAAACGCAATCCCACTGATACAGAAAAAGATTTCATCCTTACTGCCAACATTTTTGGTTCTAACACAGCCAAAAAACAAACTTTATTCATCACCACAAGCTTTTTTAATCTGATTCTCATACTTTCATTACCAGCCCCTCTCACATTCCACATTATTAAATTCATAATGAGGACGTGTGTTCAGGATTAACCTCAGGACTCTGCCTTATTTCCAAACCATGAACCTCTTCATCATCAGAAAATCTTTCCGATAAATCCGCCCAAGTCTTCGAACTATCTTGATCAGATAAAAAACCTTTTTCAAGTAGCTCATTCTCCTTTACCAAACCATCATTATCATCCTGAGACACTTGCAATAACTGTCTAACATCATAATGTCTATCCACAAAAAAAGAAGAAGAATCTGAAGAAAGAGATGCTTGTTTGTTTAAACAACACACAATATCATCTATTCCCTCCCCTTTCTCCTTTTCTCTCATCTTTCCACTTTTTCCTCCCTCATTCCCAGTAAAAAAAGAAGACTTGTCATTGACATGAAAAGAAACTTCTCGTTCAACTAGCACTACACAATCATCCCTACCCCCCTTCTCCATTAACGTAACTGATACCTCTCCTGCTACCCCTTGACTTTCAGGTAACTCTGGTTCTCTAATCTCCTCACAAGATTTAGACTCTTGCACCCCCCTCACAATTAAAGGAGTATTTTCAGCATCCTTCCCTGATTTTGACATTCTCATCTGCATTTCAGAACCCTGATCAACTTCAATAGGAACATTCATTTCTGTAATCGAATCATTTACTTTATCCACCCCTGCAACTTCCACATTTCCTCTACCTGAAACATTTAAGATTTCCTCGTCTACTTCATGCAAACAATTTTTTCCCCAACTTGTGCAGCTGGCTCAATCAAATTGTCTCCACTTTCCACAATATGACTCTGTTCCTCAAAAGCCAGAGCACTGAATCTATTTCCAATCTCTGGCTTATGAACAACTTCTTTTCTTTTAAAAGCTTGTTTCTGATTTCCTCCTGGCATAGTCTGTACAATTCCTTTCCCTTTATCAGCAATATTTATCACAACATGATCCACTCCACTCTGAATATTGATCTCTTTCTGCTGATTTACCTCAACATTCTGCCCATTCCCTTTCTCCTCATCCCCTTTTGCAATCCTCTTTTTCCTGCAAGTATTTCCATCATGCCCCTGTTTCAGACAAGCAGCACAATACCGAAAATCCTTCTCATATACTATTTTTTGCCATCTACCACTATTTCCTCCCATGTCAAGCCAGAATCTTCTAGGATTAGACTGCAACAAGTTAACTTCAACACACACCCTCGCCACTCCTGGCCTAGTCAGCTGCAAAGTTGAATTATCAAACACCAATATTTTCCCAATTGGACTCAAAATATCTCGAAGACTCTCTCTATTAAAGAGATGAACAGGAAGCCCAGGCAACGATATCCACATTGGAACAATTGGAGGTTCAATTCCTGGAAGAAATTCCGGGAACCATTTAAAAAATCTGAACAAAAAACCTTCTATATATGTAGCATCTTTCAGCCATGTCTTCACATAATCCTCCAGAAGACTAAAACGAATAAGTATGTGTCTAGGATCTAAAATACCTATCGAGAATTCACCCTTGGGAAGCCATTTTGTAGCAATAAACTCTCGAATTACTCCCAGTGAAGGCTTACCATATGCGCATTTCCCAATTAGAGTTTGATTGAAACCCTTCGACAACTCTAATGTTTCTTCAGAAGTCCAATACATTCCAGGTTCACCATTGTTGTAAACAACCCTCTTCGCTGGTTTGGGAATCCCAGTCGAAGTTAGTAAACCATTTCCCAAAGATGAGTTACCAGAATCCGCCGAAAGAACATTCGCGATCGAAGACTGTCGTGGAATAGGTAGATGAGGATCTAAAGAAGTTTGAGGAACCAGGGAACTCTGAATCGAAAGAGGATACTGAATCCCTGATGAATCTTGGCCGAAAAAGTTAATTTGAGGAAGAGAAGAAGATCGAGAAATTGGAAGATTTGTAGATCTGAGAGAAACACCGGGTTCTTGAGAATTTGGGGGAAAATGAATCGATTGAGAAACCAAAGGTACAGACAGAGGCATAGAAGACTGATTACCCACACTTACTGCTGAAGACGAAAGGACCATTCCAGAATTTTTATCGGGAAGAGAAGACTCCGTATTCCCTATGTTTGCGAAGACCGAGGGTTTCTTGAAAAGAGAAGCGAAATTTTTTTTAATATCTGGGGGTTTTGGGGGAATCTGATGCTGGACTGTACCCGATTCCATGTAGAAAAGACAAAGAAATGATCAAAAATTCTAGATCTGATACACAGGAATCAAGAAAGTGAATTAAAATCAAAAAATCAATGGAAAATTTTTTAGAGAGAAGTGAGAGCTTCTCTCTCTAGAATTGAATGCTGCCTCCTATCCTAAACCCTTCCTCCCTAAACCCTAAACCCTAAACCCTAAACCCTAAACCCTAAACCCTAAACCCTAAACCCTAAACCCTAAAACCCTAAACCCTAAACCCTAAACCCTAAACCCCAAACCCTAAACCCCAAAACCCTAAACCCTAAACCCTAAACCCTAAACCCTAAACCCTAAACCCTAAACCCTAAACCCTAAACCCTAAACCCTAAACCCTAAACCCTAAACCCTAAACCCTAAACCCTAAACCCTAAGCCCTAAAACCCTAAAACCCTAAACCCTAAAACCCTAAACCCTAAACCCTAAACCCTAAACCCTAAACCCTAAACCCTAAACCCTAAAACCCTAAACCCTAAACCCTAAACCCTAAACCCTAAACCCTAAACCCTAAACCCTGAACCCTAAACTCGGAACCCTAAACCCTGAACCCTAAACCCTGAACCCTAAACCCGGAACCCTAACCCCGAAACCCCGAACCCGAAACCCGAAACCCGAAACCCGAAACCCTAAACCCTAAACTCGAAACCCTAAACCCTAAACCCTAAACCCTAAACCCTAAACCCTAAACCCAAAAAACCCTAAACCCTAAACCCAAAAAACCCTAAACCCTAAACCCTAAACCCTAAACCCTAAACCCTAAACCCTAAACCCTAAACCCTAAACCCAAAAAACCCTAAACCCTAAACCCAAAAAACCCTAAACCCAAAACCCTAAACCCAAAACCCTAAAAACCCTAAAAACCCTAAAAACCCTAAACCCTAAACCCTAAACCCTAAACCCTAAACCCTAAAACCCAAAAACCCAAAAACCCTAAAAACCCTAAACCCTAAACCCTAAATGCAAAAATGAATGAATGCGATGCACTAAAGTCAAATAAGACTATTGCCCATAAGCGATAGAGTAGAAATGTATCCTGAATAACCGACTGATCCACTGGCTTAGTCTATGGTTTGATGACGTAGACACGTCTTTGGGTCTCCGAAGTCTCGACCTATGAGTCTTGTCCTTGAACTCAACCCATGCCTTGGCCCATCTAGCCTAATTGTAGAATCCCCGCACGTAAAACAGTAGGGGCCTATGTAGCACCCTAGAACTGAAGCTAGCTTCCCTGGCCCATGGCTGGGTAAGGAGGAATGAAATGAGTCTATATATGCCCCACTAATGACTGGGACTAGGATGCCCTATAGCTCTGGGATCCCTACCTCTGAGGACAATACTGCTTCATGTGACCTGGTTGATGGCAAATGAAACATGTCCTTTCGCCTGCTTGGTAGGAAGGCCTCTGATTTCTCCAACCTTGGGAGGATTGACTTTGGCTTTAGCCTTGATAACCGCAACCCTGTCCTTGATATACTTGCGGAGTAGAAGTCCTCTATTTCTTCCCCGAACTCGAAGAAGAGGATTGGCCCTCCTTCTTCTTGATCCTTAGCACCCGTCTCTCGAATGTTCTGTGCGTCGTCGACCTATCTATCAATAGCCATAGCTGTCTCGACCATCGAGTCCAATTATTTTAGGTGGTAGCCCACAATTTTCCCTTGGATGGATAATTTTAAACCATCCTCAAACGTCCTTACTTTGGTCATGTTTGTGGCCACGTAATCATCGGTGAAATGGGCTAACTCAGTGAACTTAGCCACGTATTCCATCACCATCATTGTCCCCCTACTTCAAATCCAATAATTCATGGGCTTTTGCATGTCGAACAACCGATGGAAAATACTTGCCCATAAAGAACTCCCGGAACTCTCTCCATGTGATCGCCCCTAAGTTCTTTGAGGCCTTTGCCCAAATGCATCATAGATGGGTTTTTCCTTCTAGATGGAATACAGTTAGCCTTATCTTAGTGGCATTGGAGGTGATCTCCATAGCCTCTAGGATCTTCTCAACTTGCTGGAACCAATGGTTGGCCACCATTGGATCCACCCCTTCCATAAAAATTGGAGGCTTGTGTGCCTTAAAATTTTGGAGGTTATTTGAGTCTCCTTGGCCCACATTGGAGCTAACTTGTGCAAAGGTAGCTATCATAGTGCCAATAGCCTCCATAAAGACATGTTGGACAAAGGTCAGCGGTGCTTGGTTGTTGTTTTGCCTACCACCTAGGTTGCGTCCTCTCCTTCTATTTGCCATCTATACACATGTCAAATAGCAATAGAGCACTAACTTAGTATTCCAAGATAGGGATCAAAGTCCAAACTTTGAGATTTATCTCCTTCTCTCACTAGTAGAGTATATACCACCACTAGTAGACCTCTACACCTTGGACCGTCCTGTTCCTTTGTTTTCCGACCCCCAAGGTTATATTCTCTAACCCTAGTGTCTCTTTTTCATATACATTTTGCCATGCATATAATTCCCATAACATATAACACATAACATGTAATGCACAGTGAATGCAATGGTCTAGAGACATGCCCCATCAAGCCCTAGGTAAATCGTATACCTAAGCACTGATACTAAGATGTGATGCTCCTAAAAATGGGGGTCCTTTGTCAATTCGTTGATCACCTATCAACTCACGAAAATACCCGTGAATGCTGCATAACCTAACACCACATCACAACATCCCCTTTATCGGGATCACAACTACTCAAAGATTGGCCAGAGTTCCCTTTGTACCAGACACTCCCAAATGCATAGCCTGTATACTATTCAACCACCTGACCCATTCAAGACCCAATATTCCATAATTTATACTCCATTATTGCCTATTTATATCATTTGAATAAAAGGACACAAAGCCCGAGAGTAGAGCAAAACACTTTTAAAAATTGAGATTTTAGGAAAATCTACCAGTAAGTTTGTTGTCGTTCTACCGGTAAATTTTGCCTACTGAAAAATTTATACAGCAAGACTTATCGTTCTACCGATAGGTTTTGCCTATTTTTGCCCATTTTCCTCCTTTTGCAATTCCAATTCATTCCAACCCACTCCATATCGACTCAACACATGTATAATGAAGTTTTTCATGTAACACATGGTCCATACAAGTTCTATTACAATCATTTCCATAGATTTCCATGCCCAAAATTAAATTTCATAAATGTTATACAAAATATGGTTTAAAAGCCACAAGTCGGCTTTTCATCATCCTTAAGGGCCCAAATGAGAGTCGTCCACCTGTATGTACCCTACACCTGAAATATTTTCCCATAAAGGGTGAACCACACTCAATAGGGTATCTCCTAAAGAGGCTACTCCCCAACTTAGATGCACATGAAATGTTCATATGCACAATTCAACAAGCAACAACATTCCAATCAAGAATATGCAATTTAATGTTGAAAATCTCCATGTTATGTCTTAACATGAGATGAGACTCACTCATGCACTCAACTCGAGCCTTTAACGGCTGCCTCACACATGTAATGTCATGAGTAAAAAATCGAGAATTTCAACCCCTTGCCATTGATGTTACACATCCAATGGCCTTTTAAAAATAAACCATGTGTCTGTTGTTGAGTATTTGGATTTTAGAATCTCACCGTCGATTTCGTACACCTTTACACTTTTTTGGACTTGCATCGACAAAACTGTATAAACCAATAATCGGGTTTTGCACCTGAGGGAGTATCTAGCCCTTCTCGCTATATCCAACACAAGTTTTTCATGTAACCATACGACTCGATCGGATTTTGGTCCGAATGTACCGAGCCCACTTATCAACCACCAAGTGTGATGTTTGATTCAAAAATATACACACACACACCCACACTCATGTCTAATGCCCATGAATGTGATGTCTCCATGCATATGCATTGTAATGAACAATTGCAATATCAATATCAGATTCATATGTAATGAATGTCATACGAACTATTTCAACCACACTTCAACACAACTCATGGCCAATTATATCCAACGCATATAATTTTTATAAATCGTCACAATACCAATACTTCATCTAGCATATATCAACATTTTTTATCCAACAACAATTTTCCAAGCATGTTATACATACTCTATGCAATAACACACTTAATTTCACATAGGCACAATATAAACACATAGCATGCCCACATAACACCATTTCCAAAGAAATTACTAGCTAGCGATTTCCACTTACCAATTCAAGCTTGAATTGATATAACCCAATTTCAATATCCATTTCATTAATTTTACAACTATAGGCAAGTATTAAAGATATCTAACAACCTACCCATTCCATATCATAACTCTAGGTTAGAAATAAACCTAATTAGGATGAAAACTCTACCTGTTGAAGCATAAAATCAACGGTAGAACCTTCAGGAATACAACCTATGTCCAAACCCTTGATTTCTCAAAATCTCATCTCATGAACTTCAGTGAAATCCGTTCTTTTGGTTTGGTTGGGTAGCCCTCGACGAGGAGATCAACTTTTGCTCTTGGCACGTGTTGATTCGAGCAACGAAAAGGTGTATATCATAGAGAGAAGTTTGAAATTCTCTCTTTTTCCCTCTCCCCCTTCTCCAATGTAAAGACCAACTGAAAGTGGGGAGAAAATTCATATTGGTCCACATTACGCCACACATTCCTCATTTTATGGGTCCATTTTCACCCTAAAGTGATTTAATTTCGTCCCAGCTCAAGTTCAAAATATTTTTATTTCAACTTTCTTTAAGTTATTATCCAATTTTTGAAATTTTGTTCCCGGGTTCGTTTATAAGCATTGATAATGTTAGTAAAGGGAGTGAACATTTGTGAGATGTTCTCATGGGATTCCATCCTAAATAGGATTG